TAAAATTACCTCGTCCAATCGTGGGATGATATCACTAATACACTTGATTACATTGTCAACCGTAGCAACAATCGTTAATATCCTTAAAAAAAATAAAATGTAATAACGCATAAAGGGAAGAAAGGGTCCTTCTTCCTCCCCAAAGTCTTACAAGTTAAAAGATCAGAAAGCAAAGAACAGGAGGATCATTATCTGAGTAAAATAATATTGCAGTTCTTGAGCTCCGCAGTATGTGACTGTCACAGAGTTTTTTCTAGCGACGGCGTAAACGCCTGGTAGTCAATTTTGAGGTGGAAATAACTGCAGAAGAGAGAAAGTCAAAATTGGAAATGAGGAGGAAACTTTGGTATTCAGATTGGCGGGTCAAGGTCGATATTGGCACTTTGAAATAAGTGGAAAAGCCAACATCATCTAGGATGACGCATGATTCATAATGTATAAATAGGAAGGGTAGTTCAGGAGGGATTACCGTTCGGGCGTCTGGCTATCAGGAACAGTGAGAGTCGCATCGAACTGCAAACAGGTGGTTACAGTAATTTAACGGTTTCAAGGGGTCATACAACGTGTTCAATAGGAAACTGACACATCCGCCTCATCCCAAAACTTCCCGAATATTTAAATAAATATGATTAATATACACAAAAAAAACCTCTTTTCATTTTAATTTGTTATTTGAGAAGCTAAAACACAGAAATTGAACCTCTAAAATATTCGAAAAACAAGTTTAAAAAATGCAGTTTCAAAACATTTATGATTATTCCAATGAAAGACCATATCAAGCATACAAGTTCGCTCCCTGATGCTAGAAGCATTTGAAAACTACAGTACTGCTTAGCTTTAAAGAATAAAATTATAGGCGACGAATCAGTCGCATTTCATTTAAGCATCTGTGAACAAGTTTCTAAAAAACATCTCTAAAAACATCCGCATTACCCAGCTGAAGCAGTAGAATCAGATACCTCTTTCAGTATTATAGGGTGAAAATGACTGATTTATCCAGCAATTCAGTCATTAGCTAGCTCTGAATGTAAGCTCTGTGCAGAAGAGAAAGCAATGGAGAAGAGGGAGCAAAAGATTTCACAAAAGCCAGTAATTTAACAAATCAATCACTAACTTCGCTTCTCAGTCGTTTAATATTTGAGCCACCTTTACCAATAATACCACCGGCATTACGACTTGACACCAGTAATTTCAATTCATATTTTCCAGCTGCTATCGCCTCAGTATAACTATCGGGCCTTTGCCTCTTACCACTTGACGTGTTCCTGTCGCCTCCATACGAATCTTCACCGTGACGTTTCATTTCCCACTAGCGATACTTAAAAAAATAGTTGCTGAAACGATAGCAACATTATGTTATCTCATGAAGAATGAAGATAAGTGAAAAAGCTTTAAAAGAAGATTTACGACAGTAGCAGCGGCGCGAACGTTTAAAAAATTGCGATCAAGCCACCTTATGAAACAGAAACATATGTAACAAGTACATATTTGTTCGTATCATGAGTTTCTTGTTTAGGACTACTCTAAAGTGCTACCGAGCCATTTGTACTTACAGTCGCAGATGATAAATACGTGGGACAAACAAATAAGAATGTTAAGAAAAAAGAGCACTGAATTAAGAAAAGAGGAATATAAATTCAATATCTGTTTATGGGGAAGTAAGAATACAAGAAATGAAAGAATAATAGAAAAAACATCCCACTGATGATAGTTCGGCGACATAGCTAATTATTAATAGCGGCAAAAAAAAAAAAGTTGAAAAAATGAAAAGTAAAAAAACGACACAACTATGGGTAATTTTTGAGTGGAACTGATAAGTGAATGGAACGTAGTGACTTTCAACGTTACATCTGTGCAATGATACCACTGTCAAATACAAATGATCTAAAAAAAGCCATTCAATCAATAAGTCTATAAGAATCTCAAATGCGGTAATAGAAATCCAATCAAGCAAACTAAAACTTTTGTTCTGAACGCTCCTTTTACTATTTTTTCTGTCTGTTTTTTATACAAAAATAAATATAAATCAGACACGACAAAAAACTAGGTGCAGTAAATTTGAATTTGTGCAAAAAAGTCAAATTCTCAGAAGGAAAAAATAAGTAGAAAAAAGCAAAAAATAACGGTAGAGGGATAGGAGTGATAAGAAACGATAATAAAGGCAAAAAATCCAAGAAAAAAAAAGCACAAAAGAATGACGTACACACCAAATCAAAAAAAAAAAAAAAAAAAACAATTTATGAACACGCTTTATCTTTATTTCATACCACTTTCATTTTGGTAACTGACTCGCTTGAAGAGTTTGTGCGTAAGAGAAAGCTACCGACTCAGGGCAACAGGGCCTCGACATCGTTACAGGCTGTTATAATCCCCCAACAGTTTCGGTGTGCTCAGAATGTTGATCGGGGAATATTTTTGTAGCCGTTAGAATGATTCAAAAATAAGTTGTCAAGCAATGATTATCTGCTGAAGGAAATTAGAACATTCTTACAGATTTGCTCCCCACTGTTTCTATTACACTGAACTATGAGGGACTTAACGGTTTCTTTTATTAAATCACAATGTCTCTGTAAATATTCAATTTGGTATTTTAACTGTTCACTACTTCTGTCTCAAAAAAGCGCTAATACAAACCGTAATCATTAACTCATCTCCTCCTCCCTTTAAAGCTAACAATCAGAAAAATAACAACTCCTATTCTAACTAAACTACTTTGGCTGAGCTGTCCCTTCCCAGAGTGTTTTAATGGATACTAGTTCAACCCAGGATAAGTATCCTAAACCCATAAAACGTCTCCTAGAATTGTAGCACAGTCCAACAGAAGACATAGTCCTGTACAAAAGCTGATGATTAGCTCAACCATTGTTCAACCAAACTAACATTCTTAAAGTCAACGGATCATTTGGGGATGAACATTTTGAACAAATAGAACTGTCGTTATCCATAACAAGTTGTAACCATTTCAAGTCCACCGTCATTCTAAATCAAGAGTTTTTTTCTGCTTGAGAAACCTTTTCAGATGCTACAATTACCAGAATAAACTGGATACAGAACAAAAAGAAAAATGAGGAAGCTGAACGAAATTACTGATTACGAAAAAAAAAGTTATCCCATCTAAAAGTAGCCCAGTGAGCGAAAAATTGGACTTCATCTCTAGACGATTGGATTTGTTCCAACATAATAAATACTTACTTTTACATAATATATAATAAACAGAGAATAAATAGACACAAATAAATATACTTTTACTTTTAATTAGACACACTTTTTCGTTGACGGATTTCTGAGCCAGAAGCTGCAAACGAAATGCACGAGCTGCATTTGCTCCCGGAAAATTTCTTTGGCGGATCAAGACATTCGGCTCAGCGAATTGTCATTACGCTAACCACTAACAGAGCACTGCTGCATAATGAGCCCATTGTCATCAGAAAGCTCAAACGCATTAACCATGTACTGTTGCTGCTTTCAGTGATCGATACGCTTGGGATATGTTCGTGTGTTTGAGTGTGAGTGTGCATGAGTATATTAGTGGTAATGGCGTTTGCTAGAAGCTTTAGCGTCTTGTTCGGTTTTAGTCTATGCGCATATGCCTGTTATTCGTCGCTTCTTTTCTCTTCTGAAAAAAAAATAATACGCGCGTTTCCAATAATTTAAGCAGCAACTCTTAATAATTGCTGATTTACAACTTGTTCATTCTATCCATCGTTACGTGTCAACCGATAAACATTGTCTTCTGGGCTTTAGCTGCAGTAAACAGTGTCGTTAACATGAAATTATAAGTTTTTTGCTGGTCTCATAATTATTGAGCAACAACATTTTTGCATAGGATTTCTTATACTGGGTGGTTGCACAGACAGTATAGTCTGGTGCAACCCTAAATAGGAAATTTCTCATTTGTTTTACTTTCCAGAAAAAAGACCCACCTTTTTGAACAATTTGTCGTAATTCAAAGGAGTCCTGATAGAATCTGAAGAAATGGCCAAAGGTGTAACCGAAAAATTCACGAAAAATCTGTACAAGTGACGACTTTTTGCCTTGTAGCATTATTATAGAATGGCGACCATAACTTGGTTAGATTTTAGTAAGCCTTGGTTTATGCATCTTTAAAAATCAAAAATTCCGAATCTCTTTTTCACTAAAACTTTATTGTTTTTTATTTTTTAATTGACTACTGACACACTTCTCAGCGGTATTTCGTTTCACTTTATACCTATTTTGGTATTCCTAATGGGTGTGCTCTTCCGATTCATGCTTTTATAGATTTAATCTAAGCATTCTTTATGACAGGAATACGATTTTTTTAAACCATTCTTTAACAAGCTGGGGTTTCTGTTGCTTATTTTCAAATGCGTTATAGCAGGCAAGCTGCTAGTTGAATTTGGTGAACGGGCGAAAAATAATATGTTGTTGAATTACTTGTACTTGCAAAAAAAAAAAAAAAAAATGCTTTTTGTGCTCAAAATTTATCCTTGCAAAAAAAAATGAGCTGTTTGAAGCTTGTTTGCACTATCATATTCTGAGCAAAGATTCTTTTTCATCTTTGCTACAATTGCTTGCTCTTTCTGTAGGATCTGTTCGTGATCCTACAGCAGTTGCGGCCTCTCTGCCTTACCATGCCTTTTTATGATAACATTCAAACCATTCACTTATATAAAACTTTATTGGCTTAAGCAATCTGCAGGACCTTGGTTCTTTTACAGTCTCTTGTATTATCTTAAAACATGCCGTTCAATACGGGTAGTACTTGAAATTAAGACTTTCAAAGTATTTTTGGACAAAAAAAATTTTATTTGCTGGAAAAGACTGGTAAGCTATTGGCTTATAGAGATGAAGAATGAAAGTAATACGAGAAATTCATAGAGAAATTAAAACTGGAAATCTTGTACTTCTATTAAATTGTGGAGTGGAAAAAGGTAAGGACAGGAAACTTGAAAAGTGACAAGAAACGTTTTTTTTTTT